TGGAAATACCTTACCCCACCCACAAAAGAAAAGTAGTAGTCCTCAAATGCAGCTAAAAACATAAAAATAACAAAAACAACAAAGAAGGAGGTAAAGAATGATCTTGTCTACACAATCGCTCTGTCTGTCGGGGAATCAAAGCTCGGGGTAACACTCTGATCTTGGGCATCAGTTTCCGAGGTAACATGAACACTGGGTCCATTAGAGCCTGCCATGGAAGTCTATGTTAGCGATATCTGAATGACTGACTTTACTATCGTCTCCTCTAAATCAGGCCGATCTCGATAGATTATCGCCTCCTGGACATCGAGATGCTCCTCATCTGTCTCCTCTTCTGACTCAACAGCAGCCACATCTTCCATAGTCTCATCTCTGGTGGTAGCCAGAGGCATAACAGAACTGGTCGGGACTTTTGCACTGGGAACCTCAGTAGCCTCTATTGACTCAAATAGCGAAGTAAAGTCTGTGGACTTCACATGGTTCACATCATTCCTGAACTCAGAAACCTCGGCTTTCAAAGCCGTAACCTTAGTAGTAATCCCCTGTTGACTCTTACAAGTCTCTATTGTCATCATAAAAGCATTAATAGATGTCCGGAGAGGTGTCAAAGCAATAGATATAGCTCGCTCAATCATCCATGGCACCTCAACTTCTAGCCGAGAAGCCCACACATCTACAGAATGGGCTAGGTGCCCCATCTTGAGGAGCATGGCTTGAGTGATCGGATTCCTCGAGGTAGTGGTACCTGAAGTAGAAGGCTGGGAGGCTGTGGTAGAACCTGGGCCTACGAAGGAGTGGAAATAGATGTACCTGAAGGCCTAGAGGCCAGAATAGGCAAAGTTGCCTCTGCAGGTATAGACTCAACATTAACCTCCGGGGATGTATCCATCGGATCTTCTCTCCTCCTATCCGCCTCATCCCGTGTGTACTCGGCCTCAATGTGCCGAATGTTTGTGGAGGATATGGGTATGACCTCAATGTCCCTCTTCTCGTCAAGAGGAACTATAGCCCACTGACATAACTCCGTAATAAGCACTGGAAAGAGAAGGGATGTCTTGCTCTGTTTGGCCCTCATGACCATCTCTTGCTCAATCGTTAGCTCCAAATTGATGTTCTTCCGGGCTATTATTGATCCAAGACAGGACACTTTGGGTGGCGGAGGATGGACTCATTCTATGAGGGCATGATGGAGCTGCTAATGAATCCAAACCAGTACCAATATGCTATATTCAAGTCCTTCTTCTCAATCGGGACTCCAGCCTCGATCAACCTCGGGGTGGTATCAGAAATAAGGGGAGCTAGCCATCCCTTTAGGTCATCACACTGGTCGCCAAACTCGGGTAGTCAAAATCTGACCCTCTATCCAATACATCATTGATATAATCGTTGTTGCATAACACTCCCTTTCCTCGGACCATCACATACTCTACCGGTCAAAAAGCACTGGAGTTCTTCTTTCCATTTTGTACCAGGTCACTGTACGTTGTGTAAAACAACCAGACCTATGTAGGAATATAGGGGCCACGGAGCCTGGTAAACTTCTCAAACATGTGGAACCGGAGAGTGTCCCACACATTAGGGTACCTGTCTACTACACCATCCGTGAACAATATCTTTTCTTCCAGAATGGTCCATAGTCCCTCGGCCTTTAGTATGTTAAGTAACTAGTGAGGAGGACCCTGAACTAGTGGTGTTGGAACAACTATTTGTGCCAGAGATGGGACTTTATCAGCAGCAGGAAGGGTAAACTCTGGGATCCTAGACGCACCTTGACAAACTCTGGCAAGAATCTCAGCTCGCCAGGTCTGAAGTGGTTGGTCATCTGATATACCGTGAGTTTACGGTATTTTTAATACATTTCACTTAAAATTTGTGTGTGTCTAGAGCCATTTTGTATTGGTATTAATGTGTTTTAATCATGTTTGCAGAAAATAAGTTCGGACGAGGAAGTATGAAACACAACTAAAGATTGTGCAAAAAAGGGCATCTACGGAAGTGACTCACGGACCGTAGGTCCAGTCACGTTCCGTAGATGGTGATCGTAGATGGACATGCAAAGTATGAAGAAGAAATCAAGGAATTCTTGACCAAGTGTGGAACCACGACCTCAAACTGTGGGCCGTAGGTCGACCTACGAGCCGTCCTACAAATTCGTCAAACCATTCAGAAAAGGGTGTTCCAGGACCTAATTTCAAAAGTCTAAGTATGAAACCACGGAGAAGGATCCACGGATCGAGGATTGAATCACGGTCCGTTCTGCTGGTCCATCGATTGTGGATGAGAGTGCTGATTTTTGGACTTGGAAAATTGCCTAAGTCCCAAACCACGGAAGGGACCTACAGACCGTAGGTCAGTTTGCGGTCCATATGTCAGTGTCGTCAACTACAACCGCGTCTAGAAGCATTATTTCCTTATTTTGTTTCCTTTTTAGTTGGGACTTGTTTTTCTATATATAAAGCATGTAAACCTCATTTTTGGGGTTTAGACTTTATTACTTTTGTTCTAGTTTTTGGCTTTGGAGATTAACTTGCAACTTTAGCAATTCTTAATTTCCTAAGTTCGTTTTGATTAATTTGGCTTCGAAATTCAAGTTGAGATTCTAGGTTTATTCTTCTCATTACGTAGGTTCATGATTTATTCATCTAAAATTATGAATTGTGTTCTTGCTATTATGGGTAACTAAATCCACAACTAGGGTTGTGGGAACCATGAGCGATTAACAAAGTATGAATAACAACTAAGTAATTCTTGAATAGTGTTATTGCACGCATTGATAATTCTTTCATTTAGAAGTCTTTTTAGTGTTTGCAAATGTTAGAACTCGCCTTGTTGCTACCTGCCGGACCAAGGAGGTAGTTAATAAGAAAAGAATTATCACCATAGATTTACTGTGATACTATCTAATAGTCTAATGTCAATTGGTGCGAGGGTGAAAACTAAGTCATACATCGATGTGATGTCTAATATGAGGTAACAGTAAGGGTTAGTAAATTATACACACGTAGACGGACCAAGGTGCGGGGTGAAATTCTCTAGTTGTCGGACCAAGGAATTAGAGATACCTAACGTATCACTTTGCATGTAATACATTAGGAAAGGATTACTATTACTAGAATTACCGCGTTATGAGCTTATGGGGAAACGTACACCCTAGTTTCTCTCTCATCTTGATAATAACTAAGGTTTAAATCTTGCTCACTGATTATTCACATAATTTCCAAAAAAAAATTCACAAATCCCCCCCCCCCTTTAATTACTTGTTTCAGAAATACATTGACTAAACGAATATAATCATAAGTTAAGTTTAAGTCTGACCCATATTCCTCGTGGGATCGACCCCAACCTACAAGCTGGGTTCTTTACTTGATAACGATCACTTATACTTCTTTAGGGAGGAGTAATTTGAGCGTATCAAATTTTGGCACCGCTGCCGGGGAATAAGGCTTTTAGATTAAGTTTAACTATATTATTGAGCTTTCGTCAAATATTTCCTAATTTTACTTTTTGTTTTGTTTTTGTTTCTCTCAGGTTCCTACTCTAGTGTATGTCAAGTACACTGAGCCAATGTGAACCACTTACTCCTTACGATCCAGAATTGAACAGAACTTTGCGAAGGATGAACAATCAAGGGTCCCAGTCAATCCAATCATAGGAAATTTAGGTGATGGAGCTAGGTTGCAGCCTCTGAGGGTTGGTGATGAGAATAATCAGGTTCAAGGTGAAAATCTACTGGGAGATGCATTGAGGGTACAGGATCCACCACGACCAAGACTGCGTGATAACTATAGGGTCAACTTTAATGTTGCTGAATCTGAAGGACCTCTTGTTCTACCCCCTCTACCTCCGGGGCATACTTTTGTGGTGACTAGCAACTTGATGTAGATGCTTACAGCGAGGGGTTTGTTCTCTGGGTTGGCATTGGAAAATCTGCATGCGCACATAGCCAAGTTGAGGAGTGTCTGCAAAAGTTGTGTGGGTCGATCAGACTTGGACATGGATGTCATTTGATTGAGAGTATTTCTTTTATCATTGACCGGCGATGCTGCTGTGTGGTTTACTGAGCTCCCTTATAAGCCAATTGATTGAGGTGTTCCTAGCTAGATACTTTCTCGTGTCAAAGAAGTTGAACTACAAAGATAAATTCAACAACTTTGTAGCACTACCTGGAGAGTCTGCAAGTAGTTCTTGGGACAAGTTCACTTCTTTCATAAGAGGTATCCCGAATCACTGTATTGATGATGAATCGCTGAAGGAATACTTCTACCGAGGTCAGGATGATAATAGTAAGGCAGTGCTTGATACTATCGCTGGAGGTTCATATGGTGAGTGCACTTTTGAGCAGATTGCGGAGAAACTAGAGAAGATTTCCCGCAACAATAAAGCGTGGAGCACTAGAAAGTTAGATACTGGGAGAAACATGTTTACAGTCCAAGCTACAACTAACCAATCTGCCGAATATATTCGTGAGGAGATGGCTCAGATGAGGACCGAACTGGGGTTGGTGTTGAAGCATGGGAGATACTGAAAAGGTAAATGCTATAAATTATTTGACTAGAAATCCACCACCGGTTGAGGAAAGTTACTATGAGGAGGATACTTATGCGGTGAATGATCAGACGGTGGGTTTCCGAGCCAACGCCCAAGGTTCCAATACGGATAATTGGCACCAAGGTCAAGGAAACCAAGGTCGGAACTATGGCAACCACAATCGAGAGGGTCAATATGTTTGGGATGGGAACTACAATCGCGACAACAACTACAATCGGAACATCTATGGCAACAGAAATGATCGGGTTGGGCCTTATGTCCCTTCTCAAAATTGGGAATCTGTTAATAAGGAAGCTGCATGTAATATGTCACGTATTAAGGATATGATGCAGAAGATGATGAAGAGGTTTGATGCGACTGATGAAAATGTGAAGGAGATGCGAAATGAATTGTCTGGTATTGGTCAAAAAGTTGATGCCCATGTAGTGTCGATCAAGCATCATGAACTATAGATGACTCAGTTGTCTGCTACACTAAACCTACGTCAACCTGGCACACTTCCTAACAATACCATCCAAAATCCAAAAACTGATGGGCACTGTATGGCAGTCACCACTCGAGGGGGTAAGCAGACCATTGATCCACCGATACTGTCTGGGGTTGAAGTTTAGGTTAGTAAACATGATGATGTGATTGAGGTAAATGAAGAAACCCGAGAATGCAACAGAGAAGGAAGCATAGATAACTCAGAAAGTTGTTCCCATGCCTAGACCTCCACCTCATTTCCCACAAAGGTTAGTGAAGAAGATTGAAGAAGGAAAATACCGCAGGTTTATTAGTATGTTAAAGCAACTTTCCATCAATGTGCCATTGATAGAAGCTTTGGAACAAATTACTGGGTATGCGAAGTTTATGAAGGACTTTGTAACTAAAAAGCGGGCTGTGAGTTTTGAAGAAGATGATAAGTTGCAACATTGTAGTGGTATTGCTACAAGGTCCCTTGTGCAGAAGAAGGAGGATCTTGGGGCTTTCACTATTCCTTGTACCATTGGATTGCTACATTTTGCAAAGGCGTTGTGCGATTTGGGTGCTAGTATCAATCTGATGACATTGGCTATTTACAAGAAGTTAGGTTTAGGGGATCCAAAACTGACTGCGATGTGACTGCTTATGGCCGATAGAACTGTGAAGAAGCTCATTGGTGTGCTCCAAGATGTACTAGTGAAAGTGGAGTCTTTTATCATTCCGGCGGATTTTGTGATACTTGATTGTGATGTTGAGTTTGAGGTTCCTATTATCCTTGGGAGACCATTCCTAGCCATTGGGCGCACCTTGGTTGATATGGAGAAAGGACAGATAAAGTTTTGATTGAACAATGAAGAGGTAACTTTCAATATCTCTAGGTCCATGAAGTAGAGTAATGAGGTCAAATCGGTATCTATGGTGACGCATAGTGTAGAGAGTGGTTCTGAATTGTCTATTGAAGAGAGGTTGGGTGTTGATGCACTAGCAGCGGTAATGATGAACTTTGAGAGTGATGGTATTGAAGTCTACGATGAATTGGTCGCCACACTTGATAGATTTGAATTTTGTTCAAACCAAAGAGATTGGAGTTAGACATGAAGAATTGTGACTCCCCACCTGCTAGATCGTCTGTTGAAGAGGCTCTAAAATTGGAGCTTAAGGCTCTACCATCACATTTGAGGTATGTATTATTGGGGAGAGATGGTACTTTACCGGTCATCGTGGCGGCAGATTTAAATGTGGCACAAGTTGAGGAATTGGTCTCCGTGTTGAAGAGATTCAAGCGAGCTATTAGGTGGACTATTGTGGACATTATTGGGATTCCTCCTGGTATTTGTTCTCATAAAATTCAACTCATGCCAGATAACAAGCCTAGTATTGAGCACCAGAAAAGACTTAATCCGCCTATGCAAGAGATAGTTAAGAAGGAAATCATCAAGTGGTTGGATGCTGGAGCTATTTATCATTGCAGATAATAGTTGGGTGTGCCCTATTCAGTGTGTACCCAAGAAAGGTGGAATTATTGTGGTTCCTAATGAGAGAAACGAGCTTGTTTCGATGTGGCCCGTGATTGGATGGAGAGTCTGCATGGACTACCGGAAATTAAATGCTAATTGTTATTCGGGCTACAATCAGATTTCTATAGCTTCGGAAGACCAAGAGAAGACCACATTCACTTCTCCTTATGGGACTTTCGCCTTCAAATAGATGACATTTGGGTTGTGTAATGCTCAATCGACCTTCCAGCGATGCATGATGTCGATATTTTCTAATATGGTGCAGGACACTATTGAGGTATTTATGGATGATTTCTCTGTGGTAGGTGACTCTTTTGATCGTTATCTGGACTATTTGGCCGAGGTGCTTAAAAGATGTAAAGAGTGCAATCTTGTGCTCAATTGGGAGAAGCTCCACTTCATGGTGAAAGAAGGGATAGTTCTGGGTCATCGAATTTCTGAGAAGGGTATTGAGTTGATAGAGCGAAAGTTGAGGTAATAGAAAAGCTTCCACCACCTATCTCTGATAAAGGTGTTAGAAGTTTTCTTGGGAATGCAGGTTTCTATAGGAGGTTCATCAAGGATTTCTCCAAAATTGCACATTCATTGTGCAAACTGCTCGAAAAGGAGTATAAGTTTGATTTTGATGATGCTTGTCTGAGAGCATTTAGAGAGTTGAAGGAGAAGTTAGTTACTGCACCTATCATTATTTCACCGAATTGGGGACAACCGTTTCAGGTAATGTGTGATGCGAGTGGAGTGGCACTTGGTGTGGTATTGGGACAGAGGCTTGAGAAAATTCTTCATCTTATTTACTATGCTAGCAAAGCTCTAAATGTGGCTCAAAAGAACTATACAGTGACTGAACTTGAGCTTCTTGCGGTGGTTTTCGCATTCGAGAAATTTCGATCCTACTTGATTGGTACTAAGGTCATAGTGCATACTGACCATTCTGCATTGAGGTATTTGATGGCTAAAAAGGATGCAAAACCGAGGTTGATTAGATGGGTGTTGTTGCTGCAAAAGTTTGAATTTGTGGTGAAAGATAGAAAAGGGACAGAAAATCAGGTTGCCAATCACTTGTCTAGATTGGAGGAAGAAGCTACGCTCAAGCTTGGTGATAGGGCTGAAATTAATGATGCTTTTCTAGATGAATAGGTATTGGCTACTTCTCATGATCTAATTCCTTGGTTCGCAGACTTTGCTAACTATTTGGCAAGTGATCTGGTGCCATCGGATTTGTCTTTTTACCAAAGGAAAAAGTTTATGTATGATGTGAAGAAGTTTTTTTGGGATGAGCCTTACTTGTATCGTAGTTGTGCTGATGGGATTATTCATCGTTGTGTGCCCAAGGTTGAGATGTTAAGTATACTAGAGGTGTGCCATGCATCGTCTGTTGGTGGGCATCATAGTGGTATTCAGACTGCACATAAAATTTTGCAGTATGGGTATTACTGGCCTATCATCCACTAAGATGCTCATGATTTCGCCAAGTCTTGTGACCGGTGCCAAAGAGAAGAAAGAATTTCAAAGAGACAAGAGCTTCCTATGAACCCTATATTAGTGATAGAGTTGTTTGATGTATGGGGCATTGATTTTATAGATCCATTTGTGAGTTCACAAGTATATTCTTGTTGTGGTTGATTATGTATCAAAGTAGGTGGAAGCAACTGCGCTTCCCAACTATGAAGCTAAAAGTGTCACGGCTTTCTTAAAAAAGAATATCTTCTCCAGATTTGGTACACCTAGGCGATTATCAGCAACAGAGTTTCCCACTTTTGTAATAAGTTGTTCAAGGCGTTACTTGATAAATATGGCGTCTGCCACAATGTAGGCACTCCTTACCATCCGTAGTCTAGTGGGAAAGTTGAAGTATCCAACAGAGAGATCAAGCAGATTCTGGCAAAGACTGTGAATGCTAATAGAACGGATTGGTCAAGGAAGCTTGATGATGGTCTATGGGCCTATCGCACCGCATTCAAAACTCCCACAGGTATGTCCCCCTACCAACTTGTATATGGGAAGTCTTGCCATTTGTCAGTAGAGTTAGAGCATAAGGCTATGTGGGCACTAATGAAGCTAAATTTGGATTGGGGCGCCGCATCGAATCAGAGAATGAGTGATTTGAATGTGCTTGATGAATTTCGCCTAAGAGCTTATGAAAGTCCAGCCTTGTACAAGGAGAAGATGAAGAAGTATCATGATCAAAGGATTGAAAAGCGAGAATTTGTTGTGGGTGATCTTGTGCTTCTATTCAACTCTAGGTTGCGCTTGTTTCCGGGCAAGCTCAAGTCCAAGTTGACCGGGACATTCTTAGTCACGCAAGTGCTTCCACATGGAGCGGTGGAGCTTGAAAACAATGAGGGAACAAGGTTCAAGGTAAACGGGCAAAGGATTAAGATCTATCTGGGAAACTCGGAAAGTGTGCAAGAAGTTGTTGAGGCCTATTAGCTTGATGAAGTCTGACTAATCAAGAGGCATGCGTCATGCTGCGACGTTAAATCAAGCGCTGCTGGGAGGAAACCCAAGATGTACAATCTTGCCAGCTATAGGTTTTTCTTTTCTGTTTAGTAGTTTTCTTTGTTTAGTTGTATTTATGTATTCCATTAGATAGGTGCTTTATTTCTGTTTTAGTGTTGGCTAGATACAGCATAGGGTCCGTGTCTAAAGAGTGTCCAAAAAATGTTAAAATAAAGGCCTAATAGTTGTTACATGTGCAGGGGCGCAAAGCAAAAATCTGCAGAAAAATGTCTGTTGCACTGGTCTACGGACCCCATCTACGGCCCATGGTTCGTTCCACGGACCATGAATGGTGTTTGTAGATCCTAGGTAAGATTTCTAAATTTTCTAAGTGTAAAAATGACCTACAGACCCTATATATGGTCTGTAGGTCGACCCACGGTCCGTCGATGAGGTCTCGTGGATCCAAACCTTAATTTTGTCTAACCCGACCCGGACGTCTTTTAAATAAAACCCCCATTGTTTAAACATTCCCCCCACTTCCAAAATTCACCCAAAACCATTTTTGTCACTCCCTCTCTCCTAAAATCCCTCCATATCACCATAATATCACATTCATCAGTCCACTTTCTTTCCCCATATTCCCAATTCACTCTCCTCTCCCCCAAATTCCTTCAGTCCCCATTTCCCAAAGGTTTTGATGTCCAGGTTTGGTTAAAAATGCGAGTAAGGAGTTGTTGGAAGTCTAAAGTAATCACACCATCACCCACTTCCTTTGCTTGTTAGGTAATCGGCGTCCCTCTACTTTGAATCCCGGTTCATTGTTGTTATAGAAAGTCAGGAAGTGGATCTTGACCTTGGGTGTGAAATTGTAAGTGTCCCACATGAATTCTGCGTCAGAAACACCCATGGAACGATAAATAGTGATTGTGTATCTTCAGTAAGTAAATAACTTCGTGAAAATGTGGTTTAAATGAAAGTTTTGATTTAGGGTTCCTACCTTTGTATTCAATACATGTGAAAAATGACTAATCGGAAACCCCCTAGGGATGACAAACTATCATATATTGTGTTGAAATGCATGATTAGACTAAGGTCAATTGTTTTAATTTGTAAAAATTTGGTTTCGAATAGAAGCATGTCTGATACCTGGCACAGACCTGATCTACGATACCCCGTCTACGGACCATAGATCAGGTCTGTGGTCTGTGGCACAAAGCAATTCCACTAAGTGTGGAACCACGAAGGTGCACTACGGTCCGTAGTTCAATCTACAGACCGTTCTACACATCCATGGTTCCCGTCAGAGCCCAACCTTTTTGGGACTTCTGACCTACGGAGGGGATCCACGGACCGTAGGTTAACCTACGGACCATAGATACCCACCGTAGGTGGCCACTGAAGCCACTGTCTAACATTTTTTTTTAGTTTTTTATTTGGTCTGTTCTTTGTTCTAAAAAAAATTCGAGTGTGTCTTTAGGTTGTATTAGTACTAATTCTTCCTCCACAGGTACCATGGCCCCAAAGAAAGCTATAGCCGTCAAGGGTAGATCCAAATCAATGGCACCAACTCGTCGGCTAATCGACGAGGATACGGATGTTGAGAAAGACCCTGAATATGTCCCCCCCCACTAGAAGGACATCACCCACAGCACCCCGGCTACTCGAAATCAATCCAAGCAGGTGGTTCCCAACGTAGTCACTGCCTCCCAGTCTGATGAGGAGGATACACTGATCGGATCACCGGCTGGGTTTGCTTCTAGTTCTGAGTACACCTTTGCTTCTGGCTCCGCCACTGGCTCCAGCTCACATGATAGGGCTGCCTCATCTGATGAGGCTCCTAGTTCAGGGAATATCCAGTTGCACCTAACATTGACCCTTCTCCAG